ATTTTTTGTTATTTCATTCGTAATCCGTAATCCGTCGGTTAAATGATAACCAATTAGTATTTTCTAAGAACAAAAAAGTGTTAAGCGCCGCTGTTCGTTTGCACCGTGACTCATGACAGCTTATTGTCTGTAAAATTCCCACACACAATAATACCGATAACTCTATTTACTGGAACTTTATCACGCATTCAGTTATCATGGGATACAACTGTCCATAGACTGCGAGATTCTACTGTTTACAAAAAACTTAATAAGTGAATTTTTATGGGCTTATAATCAGAACCTGGATTATAACAATGGCTAATCATTGGAAAGTCAAAACCGATAAACACATTTATACATCTTAAAAATTAAAACCTCAATTAATTGGGTACTCGTATTCACATTTAACCGCTTTTCACAATACTTAAGGTGCCAGCTCCATTTTTATCAATTGAATTAGGAACATGCATAACAACGTGGAACTTTAACCTCCTGGTTTTGAGGCCGTGAGGTCGAGGTCGGCTTATCCTACGTTCATCATATCGCAGCCGAATACCGCAACGGCCTTGATAACATTACGCCAATTAAAATTCCTTCTCGCCATCAATTTGACGTAGAACCATCTACACAGAACGTTATTTTTTTTTAGAGATGTGAAATATCTGTGATTTGAGATTATCAAACAGTTTTCAAATAACAATATTATATTTACAATTTTTAGCAATGCATAAACATGCATGCATATAAAACGTACAATAAACGGACAAATTCAAGTGCAATGGTGATAACTTTACTAGCTATCGCCCGCGACTTAGTTCGGAGGGAATTTTAAAAAAGCAGTCTATATGTATCTATGTAAGATTTTATAGAGATCCATTCAGCAGTTTAGGAGACACAAACTAACAAACATACATTCAAGCTTTCGCATTTATAACATTAGTAGGATTTGTACGTATATCATACTAATACTAATATTATAAATGCGAAAGTTTAGATGGATGGATGTTTGTTAGAGTTGGTAGCCTAAACGGCTAAACGAATTTCGATGAAATTAGGTACAGATGTAGAGGATTGTCTGGAAAAACACAGGCTACTGACTTTTGTTTTTTTTTTTAATTCCACGCAGACGGAGTCGCGGGCGAAAGCTAGTATTGATATATATTCTCAATAGATGTAAATATATTCATCGTTGATAATTGTACAGGACATTATAACATCACATTTCTGTGTAATGTTGAAAGTTATTTATTAAATAGTGCTAATTATAATGAACGATAATTTATCGTCACGACACATAACTGACGTTATCGTTATTTATTGCGACGCTGTTATTGTTACTGACTCGCATGACATATTTAAAATTAGGCACATAGCAGTCAATTAATGTACTGAATTATAATTGTAACTATCAATTAGCCTTAGTAAAGACTTCTGACGGGGACCTCTTCAATTCAAAGTCAGCTAGACTCTGTCAATGTTTAGTGATATCACTTTAGATGCAGTTTCCGAGAAGTTTTAAATGAGTTTTATGTTACAGTATATAAATTAAAGTATAGAAAAAAAATGTTAAAGAAATGTAATTAAAAAAAATAACAGATGGTTAAAAAATAATCCTGGCTTATGTATATAAATGGCGACTTAATTAATTTCATCACCTTTTAAAAAATAATCTGTAAAATTAAATAATTTTACCATCTGTTAAAAAAATAATCCATGCTTATGAAAATAATTGCATGAAAATATATGCAAGTAATTATTTATGCGGTAACATAATTATTTTAACATAATACCGGCTTTGAAACAAGTTAATTGCATTAGAGCCACAGGTAATTTAAAATAATTAGCGCACAAAAGATCGCACGCGAAAAAAGGATTTACGAATTCCGTTCCGTATTCAAAATTTAGTATCCGTAATTAAAAATACAAAATAAACTAACAATAACGCACTGAACCGAACACGATAACGAAACAAAGGCTTAATCGATTTGCTAGGAATTTTCCATTTAAAATCAATACTGACTGACAGCTTTCTCACGTTTCTTAGATAACGAATAAACTTCCTATATTGTACGCAGGTGAGACAATCGCTGGGCATCAGATAAGCGTATAAGATAAATATTGCGAAGAGAAATGATCGTCGAATGCGTATCCGATGCGTGTTTGAGCGATGAGTGTACCGGCTAACAATGATTGAAAGTATGCTTCAGGTGGCGAGAGATTTTTATTTTGATAACGCGCCGCACGTGGCCCCGGCAGATGGCGGTTGTAAACTGTGTCATTTTTTATACGTTACCAAAGCCTAACTCAGCCGTAGCTGTGGCATACCGCATTAATTATGTTCGAAGGTGAATACGTGTGCTAGAGGCGCATTTATTTTTGAAACTTGTGTTAAGTAGAAATGTAGAGACCGGTAGAATTTTAGGGTTACCAAGAAAGTGAAATAAGTCTTAGGTTTTATAAATATACTCCCACATTTTCTCGTGTTGCCTTAGACTAGAGTGAACACTATACCCATCATACGCCTCCCTTGGAATTTCAGAAGTCATAACTAACCGAGGATCTACTAAACATTGTTTTTTTGTTGTTTGTAAAGATTCCTTGGAAGGTTTGCAGGGACATTAATAGCCGTTGAATAACAAAAAACGACAGCAAAGATTTTATTTTCTAGAGTAATATTTAATCACACTAATATTATAAATGCGAAAGTTTAGATGGATGAATGTTTGTTACAGTTTCTAGCCTAAACGGTTGGACGGATTTCGATGAAAATTGGTATAGATATAGGGGATAGTCTGAAAGAACACATAGGCTAATCGCATTTGTTTTTTTTTAATTCCACGCGGACGTAGTCGCGGGCGAAAGCTAGTCTAATATATAATAACATCGCTTTAATGGTCTTGTGCAAATTACTACATTTTTTTTTAAATAGTTAACTGCTTTAATTCACATTTGTCCTTAAATAAGTTGCAATTGACTGCAGCCCAGTTAAATACTAACCTACTTTTGATAGTTTACGAATGTTACCTTGTAAGCTTTGCACGTAGTGAACTCTAGTACAGTTTTCGTAAATTCTCTAAAATATATTAGAGGTGGACTTAAGGCTGTCGCCAGGTGGTTTAATTTTAGATGTACCTAGCAATTGCGCACGACTTCGCCCGCGTGAAAATAAAAAGTAATAAAAAGCAAAGCTTATGTTACTGATAGCGTGGCATTTTAATGGTGAAAGAATTTTTTAAGTCGGTGCAGTGATTTTAGAGTTATTTCAATAGATACAAATATACAAATCTTTACAATCTATAAGATTTGTACAGAAGAATAGCGAAGCAAACTTGATTTAGATGTATTTGTTAGTATATCATCATCATCATCATCATCATCATCACCAGCTCACTATATGTCCCCACCTAGGAGATCGGAGCATGTCTTGAAATATATTGTCGTCTACCTTATTCTCTTTAAGTAAAATAGAGACAACAATACTAGTTGTACAGGTTATACGTCTTTGGAAACTCGCAGTGGAACTGCCAGTCAGCAAACTTAGCAAGCGCTTAGCGGTTAAAAAAACAATTTATATCAAAGTTGTAATTGGTATGAAAACCCGGATGTAATCAAAGTGTGCTAAAGTTGTTTATAAGCTACACGGCTACTGTTTGAAGACTTGAAATCAATTTAAAACATGGTGTTATTTTCTCTCACAACATTTAATTGATTACGAACATGATTAATGTTTTTTTTTATCTTAAGTTCAATTAACACAAGTAAAATTTACTGAGGAAATAGAAAAAAACGTGTTATTGACCCCATACATGCAAACGAAACGATAAGAATATTGCAGTCTAAAAATTTGGACCATGAAAAATAATAAATATAGTCAATATTGTCATGAAGAAATTGTTCTTTTTTCATATAGGTACTGTAATGACTTAAACCTTTTCAGGTGTCATCTAAATATCTTGTTAATATAACCAGGGGTTTAAAAGCGTGTGGGGAACAAATACACAAACATTTTTATTTATTATTATGTGGAATAAAACTATAACAAACCTCCAAATTTAAACACACGAGCATATCTTGTACACAAACGACACACGCACAATGTCCACACAACTCGTTTTAAGAGTGCATGCATTAAATTGAAATTGCTGCGATGTGTTATCGTACCAGCCGCGGCTACCGAAGCCGTTACGCGCAAATA